CTAGCCATTATGGAACCAGAGAGGGAAGCTATCCATAAAGGTTTGCAATCTACACGCCAAGTTTCCAAAACACACAGAAGAATTGACTTAACATGGATGCTGAAAATCCGGATTTTATTCTTGATCCTGCAGGGTGATAAAGATTTTCTAACTGATTTCAGATGGATGAAGGTCTTCCTTGCCTTTCTGTTCCTCCTGTAGCTGGAACAATGCTGCCTAAGCACACATACATATATATATGTTGCATATCTCGTGATGAAAACGAATGCATTACACGTATGCAGGTGCTTACACGTAGTCGTACTGGTTTAGACGATATTTTGTATTATCACAAGGTTATGCAAAGTCAAAACAAAATGTTACTTTTTCACATTCACCTCAGTTTATCGCAACTGTATCATATTTTTTCTTTAAATGGACATGGAAGCTTCTATCAGCCACCTACCGATTTACACACACAGTCTAATGAACATGCATCCAGAGTGTTATCTAGCCCCTAGTTAAAAAAATAGGGAAGATGCATTGAAAATAGATAGTAGTGGTGAAAGCAAACTGATAGATTATAATAATAATAACAATATTAATAAAGACTAACAGACTTTTCTGTCTATCATCTGTAAATGTTTCACAAGTTTTAACAACAGCAGCAGAAGAAGCAGAAGATATAAAAAGTTCATTGAGTCGTGAATACCAATAACCAAAAAAAAGCAAAAAAAACAAAACCGAAAACCCTGAACGAACAGTTTTGCATCAATCATTTTGAAAAACGCCACACATTCTCTCTTTCTTTCTTTCCCAATTACAATGAAATAATAATTATAATATACACTTGTATTACTGTCCATTAGGCCAGCGTTAGGTCAGCATAAAAAAAAAATTATTCTAGCGTGTAAGTGGATTCTAAGAAGAAGGAAGGTGGAAGATACTTTACTGTGAAGATGAACAGGAAATAAAGGACACAGGTGATTAAAACAAACAAAGAATACAGATGGAACAGGAGAAATATGCTCTGTTAGATACCGACACTGGGAAAGTTCACAAGGCTGATCACTAGGCAGCAGATACCGCAAAACTGTATTATTATTTCGATTGGTACACAATTCGCTGATTTGATGTACATAAAGTGACTAAAAATATATCTCTCGACACCAGATTTTGCCTTCAAGTTCTCAGAAAGACATATCCTCACAGGGAAGTAGAATTCAACAGTCTACTGAGAAGCAAACAAGGGACTTACTACCTGTTCCTAATGATGAGATCTTTTTTTTCGTAACTTTGTTGATTGATTAATTATCGTTTGGAAATAGTTGACAAGAGATAAGAGAACAAAAGGTTGAAGATGAGCTTATCATAAAGTAATTCAGAAATAAAAGGAAGGAAGATGAAAGAAAAAATAGTACTAGAGCTATGGTGATAAAAAATGGCTGAATGAAACGTTTTGGTGGCACAGCGGTTAGGACTCTCGCCGACCATGCACATGGTCCAGGGTTCGATCCCTGCCGACGCACACCTGATATCTATGGTTGGCCTACAAAATTTGGGCTACCGATATCACATGCTGAAAATTCCATACTTGTACCAAAAGTACGGTGTGGAATCAAGCTGTAATCAAATATTAAAAAAATAAAGGAGTTTGTTTATCCTTAAGGATTACTAACTCTTTAGCTTTATAAAGATGGGGTGCGAGAATTCCTTTCAAACTACTCTGTCTTACTTCAAATTTGACTTTGAAAGAAGTCTCTGATGATACATGACGTGAAGTAATAATATACTCCAGAGTTGAGGTGTTGACAGTTCATGCATAAAGTATGACTTTAGCCGTTCAATGGAATTTCGCCTGCATCTTCTTCATGCAGCTCAGGACTTATAAATCTTTAAGGAGAAACTCGAACTTTGTGTTCAGATGTGTTTCATGGCGCCTAATTTACTACCTTACTTTGTTTACTTCCTCCTTTACCTTCGTCAAATATGCAGATGACCTGACGGTGTCGCTTCCCTTTAAGTCTCAGTCAGACTGTTTCAAATTAAATAGCTTCCTGTCGTATATCAGTCAGTGGTCTAAACTAAATGGCCTCATGCTGAATCCCTCAAGATGCCAGACTATTGACTTCTCCTTTGGGCATAAACGAGATCTACAAACACTAGTAAGTACTCATGAAGCCTGTAGCATTGAGAGGACTAAAATTGAAACTAAGTTTTATGCCAAATACCTCGGTCTAGTTCTATCTTCCGACCTCACTTGGACATCTCATTTCCGAACGATTTCTAAGAAAGTGTTCCGTCTAACCTACAACATTAAGAAACTTGGACAATCTGGAATCACCCAACCTGTACTTTCACAATTTGTCAACTCTTGTATCTTACCTATTCTACTTTACTGCTCCCCGTTAGTCTTTCCTGGGAGACTAAAAAAGGACTATATCATCCAGAGAAGGATATTGAAGGCAGTTAGTAGGACTAGTGGTGCAAAACTCAGTCAGCTCGTCACTACATTAGCAGAAAGGCATCTGAATACATGCGAGAAATGGTCTAAAACCATACTCTCAGACCCCCAACAACCCCTCTATTCCCAACTCTCGCCTTGTATCTCATCAGGTAGAATGAGAAATCAGTATAAAATAATCTATGCTCGTACAACCAAGTACAGAAACTCAACGATACCATATTTGGCCCGTGTTCTAAGTGACAGAGACAATGTTAAGCGTGAAAACTATGACTTGCTTTGTTGCTAATAACAAAATTCTAGGCTCTTTTGTTTCTCTCTTATTTTGTATTCTATAGTGAATCTCCTTCTTAAACATACTTAGCTGCCTAAATTATTAACATTGGCTTCCTTTTTTGTACTTTACTGTATTCCTTCTTTTGTGTATCTACTGGTTCTGACTGTATTAGCACTATGAGTATTACAAAATTGTCCTGTCACTAACCATCATGTAATTATTAGTTTTCGTGGTTGCTGTTTTTTAATTTTTTTTTGGCAATATTAACTGACAATCTTGGTTGTGAACGCCATTATCACCATTTTAAAATTTTGTATTATGCAGGATTACTCACACTACCACTACAAACACTGCATTAGAGCTGACAATGAAAAACAAAACAACAACCCTGAAATGTTATTTTATGATTGTTTAGTGTTGTTTCAACCAAATTAACTGATCATCATGGCGATAAACATTCTTAAATATCATTTCATAACTTCTTGTATGACTATAGCTTTACTGTCACCATGCATAATCATATCATAGCTTCCACTACCCAATACTGAGATATTATTAAATGCTGTTTATTTTCCTTTCTACTTCTTGGTATTTTTTCGCATTTTAAAAATTATTTTTGTGTTTTTTTGTTGTTGTTGTCTTCATATTTATTTTTTGAAATACTCCTTTTAAATGTTTGATAAAATTAGATGCAAATATTGTAGATATGTGCTGAAAATTCCACACTGTACCAGTAGAACTGTTTCTGGAATAAAGCAAAATTATTATTATTCCTGAATTACTGCACATTAAGCTCCATATAGTCCGTTTTACGGTTTCTGCAACTAATTTTCAATCTTTTGTTTCTTATCTAATAGCTATTTCCAAAAGATAATCCAACACAACTCAGGATTTCATCATGGGCTGACATCGTTTAGAGAACCATTGGAAAACCTGGAAGTCTTGGACAGCTGTTTATTCCGCCTAGTTAGGGACTCTTCAACAGTCCGCACCCATCGCAGGTCAAGCTCAGGATCTACCGGTTACAAGGTGAGCTCGTGCACTGATGGCGTACTGCTGGTTGGGTGTGAGGACGAATACTCGCCCATGACAATGATTAGTGGCTGCGCTATGCCATGAATTGGCAGAAGTTGGTATTCATGGACTGGCTATTGCATAGAGTCCCAATGGCTTAATGGTACTCGGAAGGTCCTGGGTTCAAGCCTGTGTGGTGGGTGCGTACTGATGAGGAGTCCCAAACTAGGAAGGAAGAAACAGCTGTCCAATAATCCAAACTGAAGTCAGCTCCTGAAACTAGTCAAATACTTGCAAACCGACACTTGAATTATTAGTTGTCAACCCTTTCAGTTGCGTAAGGCTCTTCCTAATTTTTCAAACATCGTTGTTATTCATGCACACTGATTTGCCCTTTTACTAACCTCTGCTGTTAATCTGCATTGCATTATACAAGTTCTCAAACAAGTGTTCAGTTTTGAAGTGAAGTTACGAAAAAAGATCTCTTTTTGCTGATTCCTGTATTCCTAATTACACGAAATGCGAATTTTCCATATCTTGAAAATGATTCGAATTGACGGTTTGGAATGGTCATAAGCTTTTTCTTTATAGTATTTTTTTATTCCTTTACGTTTCCCATGGAATATAGAGCGTCAAGCTAGAGGCTTGAAGTTTCGGTAGCACTGGTATTTATTTTAACAGGGTGGAGTTACTAGCCTCATACCCAATCTTCCCTCATTACCAGTCTTATTACTGGCTTAGTGAGGTAAGGGGTTGCGTCAGCCGGGGATCGAACCCGAAACCGTCAGCGTGGTTGACGAGCACTGTACCGATTTGCCACCGGCGTACCTATCTATAGTTTATTAAGAAAGAATTGCTAATGAATAAATTTCATTTCTTTTCTAATCAGCCAATTTTTTGGTTAGCAAGTATTAGCTTATCATAAAGCAGCAACCTGACTGACGCCCATCGACCCGTGACGAACGTCTTCACCTGTCTATATTATATTATGCATCTATACTTTTCTTTCTCAGTCACCTTAGACACTGGATTACATATAAATCTGTATGAGAAGGTTTGGGGTTCATCATGCGAAAAAGAGATTAACAAGAAGTTTGTACATCTCCCTAGATAAATCTCCACTTATTAGGGTTTACAAAAAGTCTTTTACGATCGACAAGCTTATCGTATATTAATTATTTAAGTGGTTGGTCACTGTCTTTTAGGAGTATGCTAAAGACACTCAAAAAAAAAAATCGTCTGGTCTAAATCATTTTTATTTTCCAGCTTTGATTTAAATACACTATTGTACATAGCAGACAGTTTAAATGGAACAAAGCATGAACATTTGAAAGCACTATTCGGTGAAGACTATGTATGGATATTCACACCGTCTACCATGAGTTCTCTGAATGTTGCACACAGTCAAGACAAAGAATCCGAGGATAATAATGTCCTAGCAGAATCAACAATGTTTAAAAAAATCCCTGGAATGTTTGGTAAGTTTTGGCGGCATGTCCGTGCATTATCACTATTTATACAAATATATTTTCTATAGTTTGGTTTATAAGGATTAGTTATGTTTTACGAGTTGATCACGGACTGATATCAGTTAGAGAACCATTGAAAACCAGGGAGTACTGGACAGCTGCTGTTTCATCCTAGTTTAGGAATCATCGGCAGTACGCACCCACCACACGGGTTCGAACCCAGGACCTTCTGGTTACCAGGCAAGCTCGTACACCATTCAGCCACTGGGACCCGATTCAATGGCTCATGAATTCTAACTTCTACCAATTGGTGATTTTAGCGCGACCCCAACCACTGTCGTTGGTGGGACATCCATCCACACACGTGACATCTAATTGGACCTCACTGTTCACGACTTCTCACTAGAACTCCAGGAAGCTCCAACCTATATCAAGTCACTAGCGAGCATCAGATTTACTTTTAAATATTAAAAGGTTTATTTGAAGATAATGCATTTTATTTATTTTATTTTATTTTATTACAGCTTGATTCCACACCATATTTTTGGTACAAGTATGGAATTTTCAACGTGTGATATCGGTAGCTCAAATTTAGCAGGCCGACCAAAGATATCAGGTGTGCATCGGCCAGGGATCGAACCCTGGACCATGTGCATAGTCAGCGAGCGTCATAACCTCTGTGTCAACGACGCACACAATGGGAGGACCGTGAGGTCTCCCAGTGACAAAACTACACACCCGACAGTACTCAGTTAGGGTCCGTGGGTCACGAGTTTCAACCCACAGAGCATTCTTGATCATCCTGAACTCGGCATCAGGAGTAATTATTCGCTGGATAGGTGTGATCAGTCTTATTTTTAACAAATATTTCATATTAGAATGAAAGATTTGCACAATCACAATAGCAAAGCTTTATTTCAGACACTTAATGTACACAGTACAGAAGATTTTGGCATATTTAGTTCCAAAAAAACCCCTCTTCATACAGGATTCACAAGTAAAGTAATAATCTGAAGTATATCGTGTGACGTAGTGTTGCTGTGTATGAAGACAGAACCAATTCTGCACAGTTATTCTTAATTTCTTTCAAAACGCCCGCAAGATCATGTAGTGATCAGTTGATATAATTGCATGGTTATAACAATAAGAAACGCAGAAGAGTTTAAGCATTTGATGGATGGAAATTCCGGTAGCACAGTGATTTAAGCAGGTCTCCATATAATTTAAACAACGTCATGCGAGCCTGGCAACACTGAACTGCCTTCATAGTTTAATTTACACTTATTTACAATCTGTAATTACCTTTAAGTTATATTTGTTGAATTTGGTTTTCGTTACTCTGGAGATTCTGTATACCTGTTCAAGGTGTATCTTCCGATATCAGGTGAATTGCTTTCTAACTCTTTTGATAGTGTGCGGCATATTTGCTGTCGCCATTATTGCAAAAGGTTTGGAAGGAGGGAAAGGTGCCTATTGACTGGAAGAAAGGCTGGCTACCTTGTCAAACTACCAAAGAACAGCTGCTGACGCCTGTGCAAGAACTAGCACAATATCATGCTCTTGTCCATGCCAAGGAAAATAATACGTCACGTGATCCTGAAGAGAATAAAGGATGCACTGGATACAGAACTCCAACCACCGGAACAAGCTGGCTGGATTCAAGTAGGGCAAATCATACGCAGATCGAATTGCAACTCTACGCGTCGTCACTGTCATCGAACACAGCATAGAATGACAGTCAAATATCAACCTCAGCTTCATCGACCTTGAAGAGACCTTCGACAGTTAACGTTAACCGAGAGGTTATTTGATAACTACTCCAACACTACGGAGTGCAGCGCCGAAAAATCCTTATCAAACTCATTCAACCACAGCTATATGACAATGGCATGCGTCAAGTGACGCACAACGGAAAACTTAGTGAAGTCTCTGAGATGAAGACGAGACTGAGGCAAGACTGCCTGTCTATTATCGCCAGAAATGATATTCTTAATACTGGTAGACTGGATTATGCTTCGGAGAGTGATAGAGGAGTGAGAATTCAAGAATAAGCTGTACCGATAAGAAAACTGCAGAAGATCTGGATTTCGCGCGTGGTTGATTTGTGTTTACTGTCACACAAACTCGAAGACTTGCAGGCGGAAACCAAGAAACTGACTGAAGAAGCAGGCAGTGAAGACAGGACTTGAAGTAAACCCATAGAAGTTGGAAGTGATGAAGATACTCAGATATGGACAGCAACCAGCACCAATCACTATCAACCAAAGGGAAAGAAGCAAGGTTTCAACCACAACCAACAGAACGGAGGAAGATTTCAAAGCCAGCCACCCAATCACCCAGAATTGGAGAGGCAAGATACGCACGTCTTCATCAACCTGAAACCAAGTTGGAAATATTCTGCACTAACTAACCCAGCATACACAACATGATTCTGATTTTCAGTACAAACGCGAAGTCAGTCAGTCGGTTCTTCTATATGCGTCAGAAACTTGAACTGCCCGTGTTTCACTGGAAGCATTCCCAACAGGCTACTGAAGAAATTTATCGACGGCCACCTATACTCGCTGGCTCCATACTGAAGATCAAATGACTGGCCCACCGGCTAGATAAAAAGAATCAGCAACAAGAAACTCTGGATGGCTGGCTGATTGATCAACAATTATGTAGGAGAAAATGGAGATGGATGGATTGGGCACACACTGAGGAGGCCATCGAATGACATCGCGTGCAATGCAGGCCTTCATCACTCGAGTGGAATCCCAATAGGTCGTTGGTGTGAGGGTGACATGGAAGAGATTGTGTGGTGACCAGTAGGAGATTAGAGATGAGATTATGGTGAATCGTGGAGTGAGCCAGCTGAAGAGGACAGCAGAGAAGGGAAGAAAGTGGAGATGTGTTACTGAAGCTGTGTATTCCACTCGGAATCCAAGGGAGTCATAATAATAATTCTGCGACCATCCAGCAATCATCATATTTAACGCATTTATTAGTACTTGTGTCACTGCAATAGAAGGAAATTCTATGTTTCCTTTCACATGAGATTTATCAGTAGCAAATTAGGACAAAACTGATCATTCGCTTACTTTCCTATTCATACATGACTGTATTCCATGAGTGATATACATTTCACCAAAGAGGCGTTTTATTGGCATAAATTCGGATGTTTGCAGTAATTATTTTCATTTGGAGGGTTATATGTAAATAATCATTGTTACAGACTACGTTAAGCAATTAGAAATAAGGACTCAAACTTATCAGTCAACACAAGAAGAGGGCCTAAAACAAGTGAATTACTGAATTCTGTCATTGCAGCGCTAAGTTCGAGTCTCAGTAGGCATATGATTTCGTTAAAGTTTGAAAACACATCATGCTGATGAGTACGGACAAGCAGGAAGCCTAAACACCTTCGGTGTTTGTGCTACACTGAAGAAATAGTATTATTTATATTTATTTAATTCCTTTCCTTTCACACTGGAACACATGACACTAAGCTTGAGATTTGAAGTTTCGCTAGCGGTAATTTTGCTTTTCACGAAGTGCTGTTACTAACTAGCCTTCCCCCTTTAATGGGCTTACTAATGGCTAAGAAATGTTTAGGCGTGCGTCATTTGGGGATTGAACCCGGACCATGTGAGTGGGTGGTAAGCACTAAACGACTGAACCACCTTAGGTTTCGAGTCAGAAATAGGGTTTCAACAGTACATTTCCATTTTGCCCTGCTCTCTCTAGTCCGCTTTATCTCGCTCCACAATATCCTCCATGTCACCCTCAGATGCTCAACTCAGTGTTTCTCAATCAAGTACCACTCTGAGGATGGCATAAGGCCGGAAATCACTTAACAGTGTACTCAAAGTGTCAGCAATACTTATTCATTTCTCTCGGCATATTTGTTGGGCTTAAGGTTCCTGATTAGTATCTTTCCTTCTTGCTGACCATGATATCTTGAGAATGGAACCAGAGAAGGAAGCTGTTTATTCAAGTCTGAATCTTGTGTTTAGTGACAAGTGACGTCTTTGAATAGTATAGAATCACTGACTGACTTGACATTAGTGATGAAGTTCCAAATTTGTTCTATATACCGATTTCAGATTAACGAAGGTTTGTTTAGCCTTTCCAATCGTGACTTTGGTTTCTTCATCCGTGCCTCTGCATGTAGTTGAAACGATGCTGGCTAGATAAGTGAAAGTGGTGGCCACCTTCAAATTTTTGCTGTTGACTGTGATTGGTGCTTGTTGTGGTTGGTATTCGGGTATTTTCATCACATTTGTCTTCTCAAATGTCCACTTAGAACTTTGTCTTCACTGCTTCTTCTCTAGACTGGTTGGTTTTCACCTGTGGATATTCGAGTTTGTGTGACGTTAGGCGAAAATTTCGATAATATATGTCTAATTTCCTACAAACTGGAGGATATGAGAGTGAAAAGCAACAACTTGGCAGAAGATGCGTCAAAGATAGGAGAGACTTCAGGTGGACATAGAGAAACAGAGATGATGAAGATTCCTGACCAACAGCAAAAGCAACACCAACACCGACAACAATCAGCCAGGATAATGGGAGAAATCTGGAAAAAGCGATCTCCTTTACCTACCTACCCACCTACCTACCTGGGAAGCCTCGTTTCAACTACAGGCGGACGGAACTGATGAGGATATCAAGGCAAAGATCAGGAAAGCAAGGCAAGCTTTCATTACTCTCATATCTATATGGAGATCAACAGCACTCAGCATGAAAAATAAGATCCGGATTTTCAACTCCAATGTGAAGTCAGTGCTACTCACCATACGGATCAAAGACTTGGCCACCACGTCACGAAGGCCACTTCAAACAAACTACACACCTTCATCAACACCTGTATTTGCTCAGTACTACTCCAGGTCAGTTGGCCAGCCAGAGAAGATCATCAGCAGGATGGGATCTCCGGTAATGAACGAACCAACCAACCCAGCAGGAACCGACTGTGCAACAAATATGCAGGAAGAAATGGAGGTGGATTGGCCATACACTCTGAGAAAACAAACCATCAAGTGAGTGACATCATCCTGAATGCAGACCATCAGTCGAGTGGAACCCGAATGTGAAGCGACGAGTTAGTTGGGTGATATTTAGGATGAGTAGGTGATGTGAATAGGAGATGAAAGCATGTAAGTAGACGTGCAGCCAGGTGAGAACGTCGGTGGAGAACCGAACGCAATGGAGACTTGTGGCTGAAGCCCTATGTTCCTCTAGGAACTAAACGAAACAATATATATACACATACATATATAGGCGAAAATTATCCGCTAAGTTCATATCTTCTAGAGTCTTTTCGTCGTTCCAGTCTTATTCCTGAAAACATTCAGGAATGTAATATAATATTTTCCTGTTCCCTAAAAATAAGAAAAATCATTTGTTTTTTATTTCACTTATTTTCCTACCAAACCAGTATATATATATATATATAATAAAATGTGATAAGGATATTTTGCCGTCGAATCGGTCGCTGTTTTTTTCATTCTCCACTCAGCCTTCCAACTCTGCTGGAAGGCAGAAAAGAAACAAAACTGCAATTTCTCTCTATAAAAATTGTAAATTCCAGTTCGTCACTTCATCAAACTTTGATTTATTCTAAAAAAAAATTGACAAATTCTAAGCTATTACATAAATTAAAATATGTCGAAAAGTGTGTCATTCGGTTTACAACTTCCCAACAATATTCCCGTTTGACAAAAATGAGTGAGTATGTCTGATTTAAAACCTTACAAGAAGGAAACTATGTCAACTGTATAAAAACATGGTGTGTTTTGCGTTTACTGCTCCCATGCTATTGAAGGTAAATATTTGTGACAATTGTGTGTGTTAGCTCACAATAATTTCGCTATGTATAACTTCTAAAAAAGATTTCTCAACCAGCACCAGTAACCTAGAAATTTCTGCTTTTTAACCGGCATTTTTTCCTAACAGATGTAGGTTCTTAATAGTTAGTCACGTTTTGAAAAAACCAGCATTCAAATATTTGCCAGTTTTGTCATCACAGAATCACTAGCATCTCCGTACAGCCTACTTTAATAAATTTCTGTAGCATTTGACTGGAACTACTGAGTCCTATATGTTCGGTATTTACTCAAATCAAAGTATTTTGCACAACATCACTTCTGAAGCCTAATTCACTCAATTTTACATTGTGGACGTTGACAATAATCATTAGATAAATAATTTTGAGGTTCATGAAAAATTCCCATTCGAACATTAATAGACGGGTTAACAATAGTAATAATAATAATAAAGATAAAGCAATAAGAAGACGTAATTTGTCTGAATCGTGTAATGTATTTGCGCAACACATTTCGAACAATCTGATCTTACACACGGACTCGTCATAGGAATATATATGAAATTAATAAAGAGTTAAGACGTGAGAAAATAGACTTAGTCCAATTTAAAAGGTCAGAATAACAATGAAGACCACTAAACCAAATAACAGAGGTAATAGTACATCTGCTATGGTATCAAAACAAAATTTACCAAGGAAGGTTTAATGTGATGACGAATTGTTTTTGAATGCATAAAGGTGGTTTAAACTTTTTAATTGCTAGGGCTTCCACAAACTTTAGGATACGCCCCAAACACGTTTTATAGATAGGTTTAAAAGATCTGTGAACGTCAATTTTATGTCCTGTCTCTATAATATGTTTCGCAATAGAAGAGCTAGGTCTCCTGTTCTCACCGTTAATAGGTTCTGAAGATTCCATTTGTTTCTGGAGCCATTTAGGAATATGCTCTGAAGCCTTTACTTGCAGAGATGGATGAGTCCTCCCTATGTATGTGTGTCCATACGTACATTCAAAATGGTAAATACAGTGGGATGTGACGTCATTTTTCGCATGTTCTAAGGGCTTAGATAGATATATTGGCTTTATATTCTCTATTATTATGATATTAACTGCATAAAAAGTCTTTTTAACAGCAGCGTTCAGTCTTTGTCTAGTTATCAAGCTGCTTTGATGCCCCATATAGGGTAGCGTGATGTACACGTCTTTCTTAGGGGCGAGTTTGCGAGTGGGTCTTGGTGTTCTGACTACTTTATATCTCCTGATGAACTTGTCTGGATAATTGTTATCAACCAGAGTTTGTGTCAACTTTCTTTCTTCTTCATCATCAAGTGTGTCTTCAGTGCATATTCGTTGGATTCTACTGAAGAGGCATCTTACTAAGGCTCTTTTGTACCGAACAGGGCAGAAACTGTGGTAATTAAGATACTGCCCTGTCCAGGTAGGTTTTCTATAAATAGATCTTTTTATTGACCCATCAAGCCGTCGACTAAAAATAATAATAAAGTTGTCTAATTTGATCTCTCTGATGTATGTGTGTGCGTGTATTCTGTTCTTCCATTTTCAGCTTTAATATGTTTAAATGATTACAGCAGCCGTAAACGTAGTGCTGAAATAGCTCGTGAAGTTTGGCAAAAATCAATGATTGAATTAATTTATCAACTGACACAAATCTATCCACCAGACAGATCGATACAGATTGACACGCTGAATAAAGATACACTGGTTTACTTCAAACAAATCTTGGAAAAACTTAGACCTGTAAAATTATGCCAGTATTCTGACCATTTAAGTTGGCAATGGGGACGAAGAATGTACGAGTAAGTAAAGTGATGTTGGTAGCAAAGGTTTCATTATTTGTTTGTGAATCTTCCCAGTTTCTTTTTCCTCTTTGTAAAAGGCGTTTCAGTTGCTCATGACACAAAAGTAAGACACTGCTTGGTCTTAAATCGAGTAGTGTGCTTCAGTCTGTCTTGTCTTTTCTGGTTTGTTTCCAACTGGTACATGAGATAAAATACTCCCTAAAACTGACTTTACTAATTGCTGGAATGAAGTTAAAATAACCATTTGTACAGAATAACATGAAGCCATCGCTTATTTAGTAAGTTTCTCATTAGCAGCTGCATACAACTTAGAAAATTAATTAAATTAAAAGTAAGGTGAAATGTTTTAACGGACATGCACAGGAGACATGTTATCATTCCACTGGGGGTAAAATTTATATTGATAAAGTCTCACAATCGTGTTCTACAGTAATGTGTTTACTGATGACCACCTTGCGAGCACAATTTATTACTGCTCACAGTTACCTCACATCAAGGCACTACTCACACAACTTTCTAACTTCCCTTATATACTTCCATTATTTTTCATTACTTGACTTGATTGGTAGTAGTATTTTCCATATTTCCGGTATGAATGATGACTCATTCCTATTGCACTTGTTGGGTGAAGACTCAATGAACAAGGTATCAGTAATTGATCTCTCTTTATCTTCACCTATCTGTATTACGTTTTGGAATTTTTACTCTGTCCCACCCTACTGTGTGTTTGTGTTAATGCGTGCAATTGTATTCCTAAGTATTTTTCTAAATTACTTATCTTCTCGAGGTCAATCATTCTAATCTCAGCTAAATTTGACCTCACAGCCATTGCAGGGTATTTTGTTAATTACATTATTTTGTCTAATTGGGTCAACTGGGTCCTTTAACTTACAGAGCTTGTCCCTGAGTGAGTTTGTAGGTTTAAATGCCACCCTAATTCCTGCTTTATTTAGAACCCTACGTAGGGTCTCAGATGTCCCCTCTTTATATGGTATAACCGTAGATGACTTATATTCTCTCTTATTTGTGTTATTATTACTAGTTTCACAATTATTTTTCTTTTTCTTTCGGCCTTTTTCAATCTTCCTAATAAATTTTAAAGGATAGTTATTTAACACCAACGCTTCTTCTATCTGTTTTATTTCATTATTTAGGTCTTTTTTGTGCTACTTAGTGCCATTGCTCGGTTTGTTAAACACTTAACTAAGCCTGCCTTAACAGTTAAAGGATGAGATGAATTAAAGTCGAAATATCTATTAGAATGCGTTGGTTTTCTATAAACACTAGTGTATAGTTTGCCTTCTTCTATTCGTTTTATTTTACAATCTAACATAGCTAATTCTCCTTGCTCATTTTCCGATTCAAATGTGAATTTTGTTCCCTCTACTAGTGAGTTTTTATGTGTCAAGAAGCTGGAGAGAGATATGTTCTGTTTTTAACACTGTGTGAGAAAGTGTCCTCCACATATCTCCACCATATTTTTGGAGTAGGATTAAACGTATTAAGTGCCATATTTTCCCAGCTATCCATAAATATATCTGCTACGATAGGGGATATTGGTGATCCCATTGCTACACCTTCTGTTTGTCTATATATTTTGCCTTCGAATTTAAAGATAGTAGATATGAGGCACAACTGAATTCCTAAAATAATTTCATCAATGGGTAGTTTCGTCCTATAAGTGAGTTCAGGGTGTGCAGTTAATTCCTTTTTAACTGCTTCTAAGGCCATATTGATTGGTATGTTAGTATAAAGACTGGTTATATCAAAACTAACCATTGTTTCATCATTCTCTGGTTGAATGTCATTTAGTTTATTTTTCATCGCAAATGAATTAGGTAGTCTAGAGTTTGAACTATTTCTAATGGGACATAATATTGAGCTAAGTGGTTTGATAATTCATAAGTAGGAGTATTCTTGAAATCTACTGTTGGTCGTATGGGTAACCTGGCTTATGTACTTTAATAGTAGCATATATTCTACTAGCATTATTAGTTTTAGGCATTAAATTAAACGATTTTGACTCACCCAGCAACGGCTTCATTCTGAGTATTAAATCCACTCACTGTAAAGCACCACTGTGAGAATTTATCAAAATTAATTTTACCTACAATGGAAGTATACTTTACCACAGTATATAAGTTCTATTCTTATATCAATGGCATAATGTCAATTAACGAGAGAGTCCAGAATTAATAAACAGTGTCTAGAAATTAGACTTATATACACTTATGCGCAGAAGGTTCAAGCTTGAACGGAACACAAAATAAATACTTCGATACAGTGGATAAGGATACGCCTGATAAGCACAAGAGAAGGATAAGATAGTGAATAACTACCACGATGAATAACAATGTGATGAGTTCAGCTCAAATCATAAAAACAAAAGACAAGAGAAAATGAGGAAGCTGTAAGAGAAGAGGATTGTGTTGTCAAATAGAAGGAGGAGTCACGACAATGAGTTACCAGGGTAAGGAAAAACTGTTAACGGCTGCTTTACGAGCGTATAATAAACTGGTTTGACAACAACTTGAGGAAATAAAATTCTACTGTCCGTTGATAATCTTTAAAGGATTTCACGATGTCTATCTCATGACGCATATCAAGAAGATGCTTGACAATAATCCTTTTGAAAGTATTGGTTCCTATTGAAGTGTGGCCCCTTCGGTACATGTTCATAGAATCTAAGGCGTGGCTTTCGTTCCGTTCTCTCTATGTTAGAGTTAACATGTGAAGGAAAACCAACGAAATCAACAATGGTGACGATAATTATGATACAAGGAATTTATTTTATTTTGAGATATTCAACACTTAACTTTCCTGACACTCTCTGCATTCCACACATTACACCAGGATTTCTAAGTAACACATCAGATAAGTCATATCTAAATAAGTTCAGCTTGCTCACTTGGATTTTTCACGACATAATTAAAAGTGAATAAAACCAAAATTTCATGACGATAACTGTAAGCTTAAACATTGAACCAGCTGGCCACCACGTGCAAAATAAAAACGTTACTCAGTATCATTTCAAAAAAAGAAAATTCTTGTGAATGGTTGAGGAATGTCAACTGTGTTAAAACCTCGAACGAAGTATCGTCTTTCACAAAGATTTCAACAGCATTCTAGTAGGCATCTTTAGTGTGTGCAACTTAAAGTCTGATAAAAAGTGTCGTTTCTTCTTGACTGCTTGACAAATTCATTCCATCCAACTGACTGATAACTCTTTCGTTGTCCTTCTCTGATTGTTCATAGAAGAATTCATCCTGAACATTCGCAATCCGAGCTGTAGGTATTTGTCACCATTTTCAAAAAGATTTTATTTTTTTATTTTATTTTTTTTTAATTTTGATTACAGCTCGATGCAACACCGTATTTTCAGTACAAGTATGGAATTTTCAGCATGGATATCGGTAGCCCAAATTTACAGGCCGACCATAGATATCAGGTGTGTGTCTGCAGGGGATCGAACCCCGGACCATGTGCATGGTCGGCGAGAGTCCTAACCACTGTGCCACCGACGCACACCACTTCAGTTTACCACAATCTATATACCACACAAATGCAGACAGAAAAAAAGAAATTCATAAGTAATTCGTAATGAGCACAAATGTGCAGGAGAAAGAACAGTAACTTGGAAAAACCACCGGGTCTAATGGATCTAGAGGAGTATAAAGATTGAATGCATTTCCGCTACTGAGAATAAATTTAGGTTGTATCAACAAAGTTTGCAGCTATTGATTCTTAGAATCCTAACGACATCAGCCAGGCAGCCTTCACCTCAAACTAATTGCCAAAGACTTCGTCGATTGGTGAAAGGTTTTGGTTCGGCCACCTCATACTCTTTCTTGGCTTAATCTTATGTCAGGAAGCATTGCTCGACGAAGAAAACGACTTCTCAGTAGGCTCAACACGTCTCCTAGCTGTCTCAATCGATTCACCTTCGCAACTTTATCGATCGAGTTACCCTCCTTATCTAGTGCTCTACGCCTCACCTCAATATTAATTACCATATTAACACAGGAGACAGAGTACAAACATATATGTTCAGAGACATTTAGTTTTTTTCACTTGCGAAGGTCACGCGTCACAGACATGAAGAAGAAGAAGAGAACAAACTGCTGTGCAGTATACGTATCCTTTGTTCGATGGTCGGATATCGCATTTACGTCAGAAAGGATGTAAGTTAGCAGATCCCATACGAACTTTTTATATCCGTCACGAGGTTTCGTTCTCTTTGCATTCATATCTTTATTCTTCTCTTTCCTCGACCCCAAAGTTTTGCGTATACTTCATTTTCCTTACGATAAGATTACAAGTTTTTCAATAGGCTATTCAAAACATATTTCAAGAATACTAATGATAAAGATGGAAGCATTGATGATGGCTGTCGAAATCAATTAACCGCTTAGGAATCTGTGGACTAATCCTCCTGCCACAACTAGTTTACGGGTATTCACTTACTCATCTGAAAGTTCAAATATCGCTCGTAATTCACAATCTACTGTTTGTAAGCTAACAAACTAAAACAGTTAACCGTAGCCTACGCTTATGAAGTGATGACGTTTTTATTAGCATTTCTGAAGTAACCCTGATATTAGACTAATTTAGCTGTTGTTACTTGAAATACGCCTAATGTTTTTTAAATAAGTTGTACATAGATTGGTGTTGAAAGCGAATTAAAAATCGACCAAATATCCCATAATATGAAATATGAAATGATCTATGTTTATTTGTTTAACGCTGACAAGTATAACTAATTCTAGTTATTTTTCGCTTGTATTTTACCGATATTTGTGTACTCCGTATAACAGTGATAAATAACTGATCAGTGGTTGATATTTCTTATTGTAATTTGTTTTTAAGTGTTTTCAGTGGAAGAACTGAATTCGTTTATTTTTTGAAGTTATATTTTGATGAATTGGTAAGATGTGTTTTACTTATACGCTGAAATACCGCAAACAGCTGGAAATGATGTGTATTTTTACAATTATTTATTATTCCGTTGGGTTCCTAGTGAAATAAATATAGGGCTTCAGTAACACATTTCCACTGTATTCTATTCTCTGCTATCCTCCTCATCTGGCTCACTTCACGATTCACCATAATCTCATCTCTCATCTCCTGCTCTTCGCCACACAATCTCTTCCATGTCACCCTCACACCGACGACCCATTAATCGCTTCCATTGGGATCGCACTCAAGCGATGAAGGCCTGCATTGCACGCGATGTCATTCGATTGTCTCCTCAGTGTGTGCCCAATCCATCCATCTCCATTTTCTCCTACATAATTGTTGAGCGATTGGCTCCTGTTTCTTGGTTTGTTGCTAGTCAGCCAGCCACCCAGAGTTTCTTGTTGCTGATTCTTTCTGTCCAGCCGGTCGGTCAGTCATTTGATCTTCAGTATGGAGCCAGCGAGTGGTGGCGGCCGTCGATAAAAGTCTTTAGTAGCCTGTTGGGAATACTTCCCGTGAAACACGGGCAGTGCAAGTTTCTGACCCATGTAGAAGAACCGACTGACTGACTGACTTCGCATTTGTGTTGAACAGAATTCGGATCTTCTTCTTTATGCCAGCTGAGTTAGTGCAGAAGATTTCCAACTTGGTTTCAGGTTGATGAAGACGTGAGTATCTTGCCTCTCCGATTCTGGCTGACTGGGTGGCTGGCTTTGACATCTTCATCCGTTCTTTTGGCTATGGTTGTAACGGTGCTTCCTAATAGGATAGGTGAATGCGAGAAGTAGCCTCTGTCAAATATCTCCCGATTTGCAACATACTTTTATTACAGTACCTTATTTTCAAGAGCTAATTTGATTTGTTTCAAGTTTGTTCACGGATTAATACCAGTTAAAGAACCAATGGAAAACCAGGAAGTACTGGATGGCTGTGTTGTCCTAGTTCGGGACTCACCGGCAGTATGCGTCCGCTGGATTTTGAACCTAGGGCTTTCCGGTTGCAAGGCAATCTCATAAAATGTTCAGCCACTGGGACTCGAAACAAATCAAATCCCTACGGAAAACTCTTGAAAACTAATCTGTTGCCAGCTAGTGGCTGGCTTCAGGACGTAGTTACCTGGAGTTCCAGTGAGGAGTCGTGACCAGTGCAGTGCATCATGTCGATTTCGAGACCAATACTCTGCGATGACACTGGTTGGTGCTAGTTGCGCTGAAATTACTAATTGGTATAAGCTGGAGTTCATGGGCTGGCTACTGGATCTGTTTCCAGCAGCTGAATTGTCTACGAGCTTCCGTTGAGAGCGGAAGGACCTGGTTTCAAACCTTGGGGGTGCATGACGATGAAGAGCGCCGAGGCAGGACGAAACAGCCATCCAGTACTGCCTGATTACTCTATCTCCCGCTTAAATTCTTCCTGAATTTTTTATATTCACAGCACGTATGATACTTTCTGCTTAGCTAGAAAGTATTCTTCCTGTATGACATGAAGTTGTGCATATGTATGCAGTCATAGAATTCATTGGTTTATTATATTTGTTATGAATTTACCGACTACTCATACTATACATCTAAATCCATTGTTTCTCATGGTATTTATTTTAGCATCATGCACACAATCGTTGTGAACGTGGATAATGAACCGATCACTTTTTTACCCAATGGTGGATTAAATGTCTCCAAGTTATACATTTATAATTCCAGGATTACTGATGGTCAAATGAAATGGTATAAGGTAGATTATTATTATTATTATTCAGTGTCTATACTGTATAACAATTGTTCTTATGAAAGACGACTTTTTCATTATCTTCTTTTGGTGAGTCGGTAGTTTAGCGGTAGAATGTTGACCAACAGCACCACACTTAGTCCGGGGTCCGATTCCTGGCCAACGCACTCCTAAGCCCCTCTAAGATGGCAGAAAGACAGGTGCAGAAGGGAGACTTTTGTAAGGCTAATAATGCCACAATGTCAAAATAAGGCTACCGCTACCACAGCTTCAAATCTCTGGCTTGGAGCCTTATTTTCCACTCGGAGCGTTAAGTAATAAAATGATAATAATAATAAAATTCGAAATGTCATTAGTCTTGCGACCAACACAATATGTATAGAATACATAGTACTGTCAGATCTGCAGATCACGATGAGCTACATCATCGGAACATGTGGACATAGATAGACTGAGGACGATAGACCACGCTAGGATAAGTGATTCACAGAATTATCCATTGTTGTGCAGACACATGTGTACAATCACAAAATAGGGTGAAAGCGCTAAGTAATAAATATATATCGTAAGGTGGAAACAGCCAGAGAGAAAGAAATCACTGAGTCTTTGTAAGTCAAACCAAAAACCCAACGTATGTAACAGCAATCCCTTACACATGAAACTCTCTACAAAAAGATCCACCTTGAATATTAATCAAGAAAGCAAGCATATTTTCATATAAATCTATATACTACTGATTTACCGAGATGAGTAGTTGTATACCACTCATATCAACAATCATTAGTTGTGTGAATATCTTGATATGATTGTGAGCAATAAACAATAGTACTTCATCCCCCCATGTCATGTTGATTAAACTCATATAATAATATAATCATATAGTACCTTATTACCCTAACCTATTCCTGAATTATTTTGTTTTCAGTACACACATTCACAGGGCAACGACGTTTCCATCTTCTTACAATTCAAATTAATCGGTTCCTGTTTGTTGTTTTTTTTTGTTTTACTTAAAGGTAGAATACTGCTTTCCTTCAAAAATATAGATCTGACTGAGAGACTTAATAATAATAATTTGCTTTATTCCAAAACAGTACTTGTGATACAGAATGGAATTCTCAGCATTTTCACTACAGTATTGCATCCAGTTGGTACATTAACAATAAATAAAATTCTACATAGATTAAGGAAATCTCAGTTCATTATGACAACAACACATTGGCATGTCGGTAGCGAAGGTAAAGCTGAACAGTGTTTTAAGGTGTTGGAAAAGTAGATACTGGCATATTTACTGGCATAAGCAGATATGCGAGTGTGAAAGGATGAAGAAGAATGTTTTAAGTAGAGTTTGTAAGGAAGAGAGAAACAAAACAGCATAGAGCAGAAGAAAGAGAGACAAAAAGAAAAGAAAGAAAGAAAAACGTTGTACCTATAAATGATATGAGTTGGAAAGACGAGATCCAATTGTTCTACTGACTATTTAATAAGTTATAGGTATCACGCCTAATGTTTTCTTTATCGCACAGAACACGAGCTAAGTAGGCTATGTTTGAGTTTTTGTACTTGCTGGTGAGAGCATATAATTTTCTATATAGGCTTCTGGTTTTGACTGATGAGATACAAGGGGGGATAGTTGCGAATGAAGGGGGTGGTGTGAGTTAGATAAAATGGATTTAGCCCATTTTTCACATGAGTCTAAGTGCCAGTCGACCAGAATATTAACAAGCTGGTTAAGTGGCACATTGCTTATCCTGCTGACAACCTTTAACATCCTGCATAATAAGGTATAGTCTTTCTTCAGTAGCCCGGGAAAAACTAAGGGGGAACAATGGAGAATAATAGGCAGGATGTAAGAGTTAACGAATCGTAAGAGTAAGGGTTGGGTTATTCCAGAATGTCTTAACTTCTTGATGTAGAAGGTAAGACGGAAGAACCTCTAAACGTTTGCTAGAAATGCTTCGATTTCCATTAATAAGTTCCTATCCCGTCTAATTATGATTGGATGTATCATATTTTCAAATATTTATGGTGTCTGTTCGTTGTACTTATATTAACAGTGATGATTATTTTTTTGATGAGTTAAATGCGATTGTTCATTCGTGTGTGAAATTTCCCTTCGAAATATCAGAATCAAACTGATCAGGCATAACATCTTGTTTTTGAAGACAAATTTCTCTACCAATGAACTAACGGTACAGCCCTATTTTTAACTGAAAACACTCTTGACAATTATTTCATTTCTGACTTTAGTAATACTCTGAGCTTAATAGACTGTTACCTTTCATATTTTGAATAAGAGTGTGGACATGTAAGGCACTGTGGTAAGCATAACTCCATTATGGATAAGATTTTATTTTGATAAATCACATAGTGTTGTACATATGATTATGAGCAATAGTTTGTGCTCGAAACGTCATCAGTTAATATTACTGTACAACACTGTGTGATTTATCAAAATAAAATCTTATCCATAATGAAGAGTGTGGCACTTTCAGTGGGTTTGTTTGAGTAAGCAGTTCAGTTAGAAATAGCAAGCATAGTCAAGTTTCAGGCGCTCTTAGAAGTTGTTATTATTCAAGTTGAGCTCACTGCATGCATATATTATCTCTGATTTTCAGGTTGGAACCTGGTCTATGAGTAGTAAATGGGGTAGAAGTAAATCGAAGCTGAGAATTGATGGCGTTACTTGGCCTGGTGCAGCGAATTCGCCGCCTAAAGGTCGACCAAATAAATTCAAGCTACGTGTGGTCACAATAAAAGAGATACCTTTTGTAATTTATAGTAAAGCTCAAGTAAGAAGACATTTTAGTTTTCCAAATAAAATGATGTTTTCTTTTTTATTCCTAAATGAGTTAAATCAGTAGCTGCGAGTAGGTCGGCGGGTGGTAATTTTTGCAGTAAAGTTGAATTGCAGACAGTGAATAACAAAAACTTTAGTTGACTGACCGACTGACGGTTTCCACATAGAGTTACTCTGCACAGATGTGCAGATGTAGCACAAAAAGCAAGGGAAGAAAGTAAAGAGAGATTCAAAAGAGAGATAATAAACAGAAATATGAGGCAACGAGAATAATAATATGGAAGAACAATAGCGTTTTAGTGGATATGACAAAGGGTGAATGCATCTGCGCCACTGAGAACGATTTTGAACCATATCACCAATTGTCTCCAGCCTTCATTGGTGTCTATCGTCCCGAGGACCCTAACCAGGAAGATGACACCTTCCTACGTGACTTAAACTAACTGTTGTGGATTTCTTCATTGACTGATGAAGCCATGTTTTGGTTTGATGACCACTAACTCTTTTCCAACTTGATCCTATGTCAGCTAACATTGCCGTAGTCGAGGAAGGCAATGGTTGGTTAAGCGTGAGCAACACATATCCTGACCATCTCAACTGATGTAACCTCACAACCTTGTGGATTGATTTCCCGTCATTACCGAAGACTCGATGGAAGCCTAACCTCAATACTGCCCATCTTATTATACCATTAACACTGGAGATAGAACGCAGACACCTATGACTTTGACTTTCAGTGGACATGTCTCACAGCCAGTCATAAAGGAGGACAGAGCAAACTGCTGAGAAGTACAGACGCCCTTTGTTCGATAGCCAGCCGCATGCCACGTCTACATCAGAGATGGAATAAGTTGGCATATGCCAAACGAGCCTTCTATATCCATGCTGAGGTGTCATCAGCGATCAACCGGCTGGCACTGGCTGATGCAACTTCCCAAATTAGTGAAGTGGTCAACACGCCCAGCCACCACTTCACTCCTGTCTATCTCTAAGCTGGGAGTCAATATAGTCCAGTCCAGTCCAGTAGCATCATCTTACACTTGACGGGAGCGAATCGCATGCCAAATATTCAAAGATTGCTGCTCAGGGTGTTCAGAAGACTCTTCATTTTTCCAGAGCCTTCACCTGTATGTTTTAAGTCTGGAAACGAGTCAGTCAATCCATGAGTCGTTGAAGTCAGTTAGGGGTAATTCCATTAGTAGATCTATGATGAAATTAAATAGAAATGGGGACAGTGGGCATCCCTGACGGACATCAGTGGTTGTCACCGCTTCAGATGACAACTCGCCGTAATCTCTTACCTGGCTGCATGATTTAGAGTAGATTACCTTTATCAGTGCGATGTATTTTCTCGGCATTCCCGTCACAGGCGAACATCGCCAGAGTACTTCTCGGTCGACGGAATCGAATGCCGCTTTCAGGTCAAGAAATATGACGATTGTTGGACGCCGGTAAGTATGCCTATGTTACAGAATCTGTCGGATGGTGAAGCCATGATCAGTACACCTTCTTCATGATCTAAAGCCTGCCCGATTCTCTCATGTTTCTTCCTCCCGGGCACCACAATCTACTTAAGTTAAAAGGTTTCAATATAATAATATACATCCTATCATAAAATAATTCTATTTGATAAAACACAGTGATTCCGTATTATTTACAGATAACGTTTCTATCATAACTTACTGATCATAATCATATCTCAGTGCTCATATAACTTTCAGATTCTGTTTATTTACTTCCATTATCTGTTATCCTTTGATTTTATTGTTGAAAATGTTCCCCTTATCTCTGGCAAATAAACATTTTCAACATGTTTATAATAAATGCATATCAGTTAGTATTATCCGTTGATAACGGCTTTATTAAAGGTTTGAGGTGAAGATTTTGAAGATTTCAACTAAATAAACTATACTTTTGTCAATGACTCGTCTAAAATCTATTTTTTTTGTATTCCTTCACGTTTCCCAGTGGAACATAGGGCTTCAAGCTAGAGGCTTGAAATTTCTGTAGCAGTGGTGATTATTTTTACAGGATGGGGTTGCTAACCTCATGCCCAACCTTTCTCCTAACCAGCTTTATTTCTGGCTTGGCGAGGTAAAGGAGTGCGTCTCCGGCCGTGAGGAGCAGTTTAATTGGCTCACAGCCACACTTAACCTGCCGAACATCCAACACCTCCCTGAATGGGATATAGACACAGGTCCTCCGTCCTTAACTGAGGTTACTAAAGCTGTCACTAATCTGAAACAAGGCAAAGCAGCGGGACCTGACGGAATGACTCCAGAGGTGTTTAAGTACGGTGGAGACAGTTTACTGTCTGCGTTAACTGAGGTCTAGGCAGCGTCAGGGAATCAGAGGAAGTCCCATCGGGTTGGTGTAAGTCACTGATCATCCCGATATACAAGAAGGGATAATCACAGAGGGATTAGCTTGACTGATATAGTATCTAAAGTCCTAGGCTCAATAATATTGCGTAGACTACGTGGCGCTCGGGAGGCACAAACACGAGAGAACCAGGCAGGCTGTAGACCTGGAAGAGGTGTATTATCATATCTTCACCCTTCGACAGATTCTAGAACATAGGCATTCTACCGGCTCCACAATCATTATTAGATAACCAAAGAGCCAAGAATACATTGCACTGATTAAGGCACTCTACTCGTACTCATGCAGCCAGGTGAGGGCCTATGGCGAGTTGTCATCTGAAGTGGTGACGACTAGTGGCATCCGTCAAGGATCATTATCCACATTATAATATATTCTTAAACACTTCACATCAGGAATTGACTTGCTACCAGGAAATAATCTTGTCGACTTAGAATATGCGGACGATATAGTCCTTCTAGGCGAGGACGCTGACAAAATGCAGAGTCCACTGAACACCTTGAGCAACAATCTTCGTATGTTTGGCATGCGATTCGCCCCTGTAAAATGTAAGATGATGCTGCAGGATTGAAATAGGAAGTGAAGTGGTAGAGCACGTTGACCGCTTCACTTACTTGGGAAGTACCATCAGCCCCAACGGGTTGATCTCCGACGAAATCTCAGCACGAATACAGAGGGCTAGATTCGCATATGCCAGTTTACGCCGTTCTGTTAGACGGATATCCGACTATCGACCAAAGGCGTGCGTACTGCTCAACAGTCCGCTCCGTCTCTTTATGGCTTGAACATGGTCATTGAGAACAGAAGACATGAAAAGATTATCTGTGTTCGATCATAGGTGTCTGCGTTCTATCTCCCGTGTGAAGTGGTATAATAAGGTGAGCAATATTGAGGTTAGACGTCGAGTGCTAGGTAAGGAGGGGAAATCAGTCGACGAGACTGTGAAATTACATCGACTGAGATGGTTAGGACATGTGTTACGTATGCCTAGTCATCGCCTTCCTCGACGGGCAATGTTAGCTGATATAGGACCAGGCTGGAAAAGAGCTAGCGGCGGTCAAACGAAAACATGGCACCAGTCAATGAAATCCGCAACAGTTAGTTAGCACGTAGTATGTTGGAAACAATGTTACAATTGTGAATGAATTTTACTTTTTTATTATGCATTCTACTTTCTTTCTTGCTTGTGTTAGAGTGGCGACTTGAACTGCCGCACATATGTGCATAGTTCTATGTCGAAAACCGACCGACCGACCGCATGGTTGGTGAGCGTCCTAACCGCTGTGCCACCAACGCACAAAAATCACTCTATAAGTTGATGAGGTGTCTGCGCGTGACTTGATCCAGTTTGTGCCTAATCCGGCAACATATATATGCGAACAGTTTTTCCCAAGTGACTGTCGTTTTTGAATGAGAAGAATAAACCTAATCTCAAAATCTCTCTTCATCTGATTTAGACACACTGCACCCAAAGTAGCACAAGTGTCTAGTGTGCATCGGTGGCACAGTGGTTAGGACTCTCGCCGACCATGCACATGTTCCGAGGTTCGATTCCCTGCCGACGCACACCTGATATCAATGGTTGGCATGCAAAATTTGGGCTACCGATTATCACATGCTGAAAATTCCATACTTCTACCGAAAATACGGTGTGGAATCAAGCTGTAATAAAAAATAGTAGTTAAAGTCAAATGCTGAGTTCATACTCCTTTCGAGTCAAAATCACGCCTGCTGTCTACGCCACTGAACCCACACGCACAAAATACCTCAGCTTGAGGTAGACTGAAGTCGGCAGTAATTCATGCTATCACCAGATAACTCCCTTTTCTATTTGATGTAATTAAGACAACCAAATTCGTGTATTTATTATTACAATATTAGTGTTCCCTTGGGTTCTGAGCAAACGTTAGGGATTCAGCAACACATCCCCATTTCACCTTGTTCTCTGAAGTGCTCTTTAGCTGACTGCACTATTGCCCACAAGCTTGCATATCCTTCTCACACTATCTCTTCCATGTCACCCTCCAACCTACACACACCTCAAAGCTTCCCAATCGAGTCCCCTTGGAGAGATGATCTGGTGCATCATTTCATTCAGCAGTCTCCTCAGAGTGTGTTCAATCCATCTCCATTTTCTTCGGAACATTTGTTGAGCAATAGGTTCCTCGTCCGTTTGTTCCACTTTATAATTTCTTGTTAATAATCCTTTTTGACCAGCCATGTGATCATCAGTAAGGGACCAACAGGGAGGTCAGCTATTGATAAAAATTTGCCAAAGTGTTGGAAATGCTTTTCGTGGAGCGTGCAGCAAGTTTCCAAACCATAAAGAAGCAATGTCTGAAGTAATATTTGCGTTGACAATCTGAATTTTGTTGTTTATGCTGAGTTTAGCAGATTTCCAAACCGATTTTAGAGTGAAGAAGGTTTGCCTTGCCTTTCCACTTCTAGCTTTGACACCGTACCCTGTACTTCTGTTTGTAGTTGGAACGATGCCTCTTTCAAATTTCCCGCGTTGATAGTGATCGATGCTTGTTGTTGTTGTTAGTTGGTTGGTTGGTTGGTTATTTTCATCACCTTCGTCTTCTCTATGTTAAATCCAAGTCCTGTTTTCGTTTCCAGCCTCTTCTGCCAACTTATTAGTTTTCGCCCGTAAATATTCGAGTTCATGAAACACTAGACATAAATCGCCCGCGAATTCCAGATCTGGAGTCTTCTTATAGGTTCTGTCTGTCACATAATCCGGCCCACCTTAAATAGGAATATCATCATAGGTGATAGTATGCAGTCTATTCTAACTCCTGTCTTCATTCCAAAGGCTTCATTGGGTGTTTTCTGTTGTGGATCACCTGGCAGTTGGCATTGTCATACAACTGTTGAATAAGGCTGATAAACGTTTGAGGCACTGTACTCAGCAGTTTTCAAGTGGTCTCCAAATTACCTCCCAGTCAGCGCTGTCGAAGACCTTTTCGTGTAATAAGTTGTAAATAACACTCTGACTTTTGTCTGATCCTCTGCTCATTTTACTGCAAACGCAAACTGAGAAAAATACAAATCGGTGGGGAAAAGTCTTATAGTTAGTTAGTCATCTTGTCGCTAGGATACCTTTTATCCGTAGTAATTATAAGATACACTTTTTTATTATGTAGGGGACTTTCTAGCGAGCTCAGTAACGGATCGAATATTAGAATAAAACATCCAACTTAATGAAATGATAGTGTAACAGTATATTATAGAAAAATACAGCAATGAGTTATATAAATTAATTGGTTACTTGGTCATAAAGTCCACCACAACAAATTAATAATATAATCCACAGTAGTGTTCACTGCTGGAGTCGTGTCTACTGGTAGAAGCTGTGCACCAGTTGTAGAATAGTCTTCGGATGAGGATAAGAGGTTCCTGCGAAAATCCAAAGTATACAACACTGCTAGTAGTGAAACAAGTACACAGTATAGACTAGTGAGAAGACGAAGCGTCGAGCAGCACAGATTACAGGATCTCAGTCGAATTTTCTGACTGACGCCTGCTGAATCTATGGCTAGATATTCTATCTGCAAATGACCTATGACAGAAGCAGGGACTAAGATTAAGCCTACCTACGCGTTTTTCACCTTTTGCATATTCCTTATCCTCATATTTGCTTCTTTTTAAAAAAAACATTTTACAACAAGGAAGGTGGAACATGTGATGCAAATTCAATTCCATGCAAACTTCGACCTGAATCTCTACAAGATGAAGACATCTCCGGGAAAACTTCAATCATGCATAAAACACTCAGCTCGGTCGGAATAAATTCTATTCATAAAGATTTTCAAAAACAAGCTAAACAAGAGCTGTTCACATCCAGATTGAACAGGTCGGCCGAGTTAAAGGATACAAACAATTCTGTAGTTTATGTCAATGGATGTTGTTCTGGACTGACAATGGATTTACTAATGGAATTAATGAAGGACTTGAACTTCGAAGTTGAAATGTTTGAAGTAATGGATGGTTTCTGGGGAGCTTGGACAGTGAGTCTATAATTGTTATATTTTTTTTACTGAAGTTTAAAAGCATTTTTTTGAAAAGTGAAAACATTACTGACATTAGACGGTTGGAGGCGATCGGCCACAGGAAGCCTTGCACCTAGTTGGCACTCACTAGTCAGCAAGGCGTATCTGTAGTATTGGAGGGACTTGTGTCCCCTGTGAAATTCAAACCAGCGTCAAACAATACACCCTGATGGCGAGCCACCTAGGATGGCGGCTACATTGTAAACTTGACAGTTAGAATTCAATCTGCACCGAAATAAAAGACTGGAAACACTACACTAGTTGCTAACTAGTCTCCAATCTATATTAGTTTGTTTATTAGTTGTATAGAAAAAATCCCCATTTAGACATTTAGAAAATAGAAAGATTGAGCGAAGAAATATTTACTTTTCAATTAGATCCTCATCTCTGGCTCTACTCTAATATATTCTGTATAGCATTTTTATTACAATACACAACAGTTTACCAAACAAGTGGCGATATGTTTGTTAACAATAATTAGTCAGTGTCAAAATGTCAATGGGTTGATAATAAACGAAGAAAATAAATACACATTTAAAAGGTAGAAATGGTTAGAATAAATTAATTTTACAAGGATAACACGTAATTAAAGATGAAGTGGTCAAAATAAAAATAAAATAATTTGGACAATTATAATTTTTATAGTTTTTAAAGGTTTAGGGGGAGGGGGCGAAGTAGTCCGGTTTACACATTCATGTAACGATGGCCAAGGCAAGGAAAGTGGCTGTACAAATTTCTTCTGAACACATAGGCTTGGCTTCTTCAGGTGGATTCCGATTGCTTCAGCTGTCTGTAGAAGACGAACTCGTAGAGCAAAATTAAGATTAGTCGGAATGAGATAAATAATTTTAAATGCAGTATTAACATCAACTTTGTGCTCACTATCTACAAGGTGTGCTACAATAGAGCTACGAATAGATCTTGTTTGTCCCTTGCTTAACCATGTTGGATGATGTTCGGAAATACGATGATGAACCTGCCTAGTTGTACGCCCAATGTAGCTGGCTCCGCAGCTGCAGTCAAACTGGTAGATACACATAGAAGAGGCAAATTTAGGTAGTTTATCCTTATTTCTCGAACATAGAATAGGGGTGGTTTTGAAGAGATAACGTACCTCTGCTGCATAATAAGCTCTTTTAACTGCATTCTTCAGGCACTGTGTTATTATTTCGCTGATGTTGTCACCGAGGAACTGCAGTTTTATGAACATTGGTTTTTTCGGAACTGTAGCTATACTGACTCTCCTTGACAATGTTTCGAACAAAATTTATTGTTCATAATCATTTCATCAATTATAATCACACGACTTCGAAACTTGAGTTTTATAGTCTTCTTTGTCCTCTCCTATTTGTCGTCGTTGGGGTAGTAGAATTTTCCAGATATCTGGGTGGACAGGTGTTGAATCATTCCTATTACATGTACACGACCTGTGTGCCTGTTTTCAGATTTGCATGCTGCACAGCTGCTATATTTCTACAACACACTCAAACAGAAATGTATTCACTGAATAAATATCCATACTATGAGGTTCAAGTTTCTAAGTTGTGTGATTATAACTGGCGCTATGATTATGAAGAACAAATTGTATTTGAAACGTCATCCAGTAAATAATACTGTTTCACTCACTGTGTAAAATAAGTATATCTAATAAACAAATTGATAGTGGACTGAGAAGAACCTGTTTAATTATACATAAGTCAATCCGTTGTATTCTGGCACATCACATCAACAACCTGTTCAACTAAAATTTTGCTTTTTATTTTTATTATTTTTTTGAAAAACATCATATTCCCTATGAAACCTAATATTTCCTTATGTAAGCATGAATTCTACTCATAATAATAGAAGCTCGATTGTTATTTTTATGCCCATAGCCTTGAAAAAAAGAAAAAAGAAAAATCCCCCAAAAAATAACAACTCTCATTCAATTATTTCTGTTTATCAGCAGATTTCGCTGTAAGGGATGAATATGTTAAAAAAAGAAGAAAGAGAAATTGAAAAATTCACGAACAAATTTTTGTTTAGAAATCTAATCACACAAACACACACACACACATCCCAATACCAGTTAGACAGTCATAGGCGAGAAATGAAATGCAGTTAGTTGTCTTGAGGATATACATTTCCCAATGGATTAAAATGAGAAATTCTATGATTCTCCTCTTGTTTCTCCCTCCCACCCCTAACTCCATCTTCTTGTTCTATTTGATTTCCCATTCAAATGATGAACACAGTAACTTCATACCGCCTTTTTTCTTTTTCCTCGTGTTAGACAGAAATCTCCCTAGGACATATAATTTTTAATAAGCAAGCGAGGTGAAATCGCCCTTGCTGACTGAGAGATGAATACAAAAATAGGAGAAAAAATAAAGGCAACATTTCCCTGACATTTTTAGACTTATTTCGTGTGTCAGCGAAAGTGTTGATAAGCCTAACTGCGATGAGATATTAATAAATATTATTTTTAGATAACAAGCCTCCTGGACAAAGTATGCATAAACATGTAAGAGAAGAAAGCGTATCTCTTATTATTATTATTATTTTTAATGCAGACATGACGGTTTAAATAATTTATTAAAACTGCCAGTAGTTGATAAGACAGATTTCGCCTACGAAAACAAAATAATTGAGATGTCATGCGAAAGTGAGTATATCAGAGCTGCTAGCGAATAATGATGATACAGCTCCATGACACTGGGTATCATTATTATTATTATATTATTGTTCCCAAGGGATTCCTAGGGGAACATAGTGCTTCAACAGCTCTGTCCTGTTCCCTGCTGTCTCGTTTAGTTAGCTATCTCTCCATGTCATACTCAGACTTGTGTCCATCTTTTACTTTGCTACTCGGATACTACTCGTGCGATGACCCAGAGAGTGATTTCACTCAGTGGTATCGCGTCCATCTTCATTATCTTCTAAATATTTAGTAATCAATAGGTTCTTGGTTGGTTCGTTCGCAAAGTTTCTTACTGCTGATCATTTCTGACCATTTGATGATCCTCAATAATGAACATAGTCAGCTGTTGATAAAAGTCGGTAACCTGTTGGAAATGCTTTTAACGGCGCGTGCAGCAACTCTCTGACTTCGGAGTGATGAAGGCCTGCCTTGCCTTTCCGATCCTGGTTTTGACATCTTCATCCATTCCACTTGCCTGCAGCCGAAACGATGTCTCCTAGATAATTGGACAAAGTGAAGTCCATCAAATCCCTCGCGTTGATGGTGATTGGTGCTGGTCGCTGTCCATATCTGGGTATCTTCGTCACTTCCAACTTCTATGGGTTTATTTTGAAGTATTGTCTTCACTGCCTGCTTCTTCAGCCAGTTTATTGGTTTTCACCTGCAAGTCTTTGATTTTGTGTGACATTAGGCATAAATCATCCACCCGCGAAATCCAGATCTTCTGCAGTTTTCTTATCGATCCAGCTTATTCTTGAATTCTCACTCCCCACTCACTCTCTGACGCATAATCCAGTACACCACAACTATGAATAGGTGATAATAGGCAGTCTAGCCTTCACTTCAGGGACTTCACTGATTTTTCAGTTTTGGATCACCTGACGCGTGCCATCGTCACATAGCTATGGTTGAAAGAGTCTGATAAAGATTTTTCGGCGCTGCACTCCGTAGTGTTGAAATAGTTCCCGAATACCTTCTCTGTCAACGCTGTCTGTCGAAGGTCTCTTCAAGGTCGATAAAGCTGAGGTTGATATTTGACTGCCATTCTATGCTCTGTTTGATGATGGTGATGACGCGTAGAGTTGCAATTCGATCTGCACATGATTCGCTTTTCCTGAATGGCGCTTGTTCTGAGAGGAATTCTACATCCAGTGCATCATTTATCCTCTCCAGTATGAAATGGCTTAATATTTCGACTTCCCGGCCTTCAGTAACTTGACTGCACTCAAAAGTTCTGCTTTTGTTGAAGGACTGATTTCCGATGGTAGACCTGTGGTCATTACTAGTATCCCAGGACGAGTTGGATAACGCCCCAGTTTCAGACTCTTCAGAAGCTCGCACCAACCAAGGTTCTAACCCCAAGACCTTCTGGTTACAAGGCGAGCTAGCTCGTAGACCAGTAAGCCACTGGGACCCTATCCAATGACCAGCCCATGAATTCCAACTTCTGCCAATTCATGACATAGCGCAACCGCTAGTCAATGTCTTCAGCCAGTATTTTACCTCATGCCCGACCTGGAATGATTGTTATTGATTGTCTATACGACTTATAACTGAACTGTTTTTCATCATTATTGGCACTATAAGTAGCACTGACAACGTCCACAGAATTACGGCTCAGCAACACAGACAGTAAGATTTCCACGTGGTTGCTGTACAAATCCAGTGGAAAGTCTCCGCTAATTTACTTTCATCGTACCAAGTGAATCAGTTTGAAGTCTGCAAACAGCGTTAGTTATTAAAAGTAGTATACTTTTATCCGTATACACCATATCTTTCTGAATTGACAATTTTTCATCATAAAAAACACAAGCGGTGACACTTCTTTATTCTAAAGTACAAAACTTTCAGCTTTCTTTTCACTTAGACTGCAATATATTCAATCAACATCAGTACTAGTCACTAACTTCGGGGTATCGATTACTGCTTATCCCATTTTCCTGACTAATTGACCATAAAAATTTGATTTTTTCGCCAAAAACACCAGAGGCAGGTTTGACTTACGCAGAGAAAGGGAAGTTCAGAGTCACAGTAAAGATAATTATTTGTTCGATGAAATCTGATGCATAGAAAAGGAATGAAATTAAATTGAATTAGGAAATAAGGAAAAATTCGCAGGATAATACGAGCTCGTTCTATCTCATGGATTCTCTTTAAATACCTAAATCCTAAACAATATCAAAATGTACCTCACAACGTTATTCGGACATACTTCTACCATAATGATGTCGAGTAATGCCTAGATAGAAAGTATAAGCGACGTAATTTCAAAGATGATGTAAGCAGACAAATTACTCAGTGCTGAAAAACTAACTACTTATAGTAGTTAGTAGCTAATCAATACACAAAGAAAAGCATGGTTAATTGAGTTCACAGAAGCCACTGCCATCAAAAGACTTTGACCCGACCTATGCATACAGAACGAGAGTGTGACTAATCTCTCACTACCCTACCTGGTCACCATAATTGTTTTGTTCGTGTGCTCTTGTGTTTTTTGGTCTGTTACATAACACTCCACTCAATCTTGATTTTGATTTTGACTCACTGAGTTGAACTCACTGTTAAGGCTCCAAATCTACTAAATTAAATTTATTTTTATCTATTTTGTATAATTTTACTTCACTATTCACCCCCACCCACCCTCCTGAACTCTCCACCATAATATGCATAAATTCACTCTGTTGTTCAATCGTGTATTTTGTCTCTAGTTCATTCTTGTTTCCAAGAGAAATCAGAACTCTGCACCCCTTTGTCTAATTTCTATACAAATAGTTGCTCTTTTTGAACACTGAATAATCTGTCTACTTACATCATCTTTGAAATTATGTTGCTCATACTTTCTATCTAGGCATAACTCGACGTCACTATGGTAAAAGTATGTTCAAATGATGTTGCGACTTTGGAAACCTAATAGTGAGTTCATCTCAGTAAGTGAAAGTCAAAACGACCCAACAGAATAAAAAACAAAACCACACGAACAAACCAATTACAATTAGCAGGGTAGTGAGAGATTAGTCATGCTATCTTTCTGTAAGCAGATGTTGCATTGAAGCTTTTTGATAGTAATGCCTTCTGTGAACCAATGTTAGCATAGTTTTCTTTGTGTGTGTGTGTGTTGGGTGGGTGGGTTATTTTGAAAGCCTGACTAACTTCCTCTGTATGTCCAATGTCAGTTAGGTGTCTGGTAATTGCACTTGAGATTACTTTGCTGCCTTTCAAATAGAGACTTTTAGGGATATGCTCAGAAAATATAGTAGACACTCTCCTCTTCCTATGTGGTGGATGCTGCAATTGCAAGTGAACTGCTATTTGTATTTTGTCTCTAGTCCATCCCTGTTTCCAAGCAAAATATGAACACTACCCTCAATCCTTCGTCAAATTATACTTTTAACACTAAAAGTAATCTGTCTAGTTACATTATCTTTGAAATTATGTTGCTTAAACTTATGCGTCGGAAAGTGGGAAACGAGAAGACAGGGATATCCTGGACCGATGTCAAGAACCTAGAAGAAGACCTGGATTTCGCGCGTGGATGATTTATGTTTGATGTCACACAAAATCGAAGAATTACAAGCGAAAACCGACAAACTGGTCGAAGTAGCAGCAAAGACAGGACTCCAGGTGAACGTAGACAAGGCGGAGGTTTTGAAAATAACCAACCAACAACAACAACAATAGCAGCAACATCCAGTGCCAATCACCATCACCGGAAGGGATTTGAAACAGGTTACTTCATTCACTTATCTAGGGAGCATTGTTTCAACTACAAGAGGAACCGACGAGAATGCCAAATCGAGAATCGGAAAGGCGAGAAACACATTCATCAACCTGAAACCAATCTGGAAATCTTCGTCACTCAGCCTGCATCAACAACAAAATTCGGATTTTCAATACAAACGTCAAGTGAGTCAGTTCTTCTATACGGATCAGAAACTTGGCCAGTGTGTCACAAAGAATATTTCCAACAGCCTGTTGCAGACCTCTATCAACAACTGTCTTCGTTCTATACTGAAGATCAGATGGCCGGAAAGAATCACCAACAAGAAACTATGGGAACAAACAAAACAAGAACCAGTCGCCCAACAAATATGCAGGAGAAAGTGGAGATGGATTGGACACTCACTGAGGAAGCCACTGGGTGACATCGCGCGTCAGGCCATCACTCGAGTGGAACCCGAAAGGGAAGCAGCGAGTGGGAAATCCAAGGGTGGGTGACATGGAGGAGATCGTGTGAAGAACAGTTGAAACAGTATAGGCTAACATGGATGCAGGTGAAAAGTACAGCGGAAGACAGAAGCAAGTCGAGACGTGTAGTTGAAGCGCTATGTTCCACTAGGAACCCAAGGGAACAATGAGAATAATAATATACTTTCTATCTAGGCATAACTAGACGTCACCATGAAAGCAGTGTTTTCAAACAGTGTTGCTACTTGTATTTTGATATTGTTTAGGATGTAGACAGTTGAAAAGGATCCACAAAGTAGAACGAGCTCATATTACCCGGCAGATATGTTCATTCTTTCTGTGTTCATCAAACTAATAAAGCCAACCGAGTTGTATATATTTCATTTCTTCAAATGCTAATATATTTATTCCTTATACGAAGTTTCAGGCACCGTCACCTATATATGAAAAAGAACGTTGGTTACATTAACGCATATACCAGTGACATTTCTTAAATCTCATTATTATTATTATTATTGCTATTATTATTACTTTTACTATTATTATATTTATAAATATCACTCACTGCCTACGAATTATAAGGTGTCTTTTTCAAATTTTCTCATCTCTCTACACAAATAAATAAATAAATAGACTGTAGTCTGATTAACCTTTTCTTCTTCTTCTTCTAACAATGATTTCCCTTAAAAGCCAGATGGATGGAATGGTATAATACGTGATTTAATCGATAATAGAGCTGATATGGCAGTGACTTCATTGAAAATCACACCGAATCGATCACAGCAAATTGAATTCAGTGTACCATTCCTGGAAACCGGTATAGCAGTTTCAGTAGCTTTACGTGAAGGCGCTATAGCGCCAACAGCTTTTCTAAGTAAGTTGTTATAATACCTTTTTTTCCCCTCTCTCTCTAAACATTACATTATATTACTAAAAATGATATTATCAAATAAAGAGTGACTGAGTGTACGAAGGTGATTAATTTGCAGCAACTAGATGTCAGACAGACAGACAAATATATTACATTACGAATGAAATGTACTTCTACGTAGATGTGCCAAAATATTACAGTAAATGATCTTTTATCCCAAGTTTTATAAAAATTTAATCTCTAGGTGAATCACTGACAGTTTTCTTGAACTGTTCAGTCAATCAGTTTATGCCAGTTTTTTTCTTTAACAGATATTTCATTTTTATAATACTTTTTTTTCAAGTATTGGTTTGTAGTGATTTGGTTGATTGGTTACAGGATTTCATCATGAGCTGACATTGGTTAGAGAACCATTGGAAAACCTGGTAGTACTGGACAGCTGTTTCGTCCGCCTAGTTCGGGACTCTTCATCAATACGCACCCACCACAGGGTAAAGATTCAACAGAGGTTACTTCCTTCACTTATCCGGCTAGGAAGCATCATTTCAACTACAAGAATTTAGAACGGACGAGGATGTCAAGGCCAAACAGCCAACCAGCCAGCCAGAATCGGAAAGGCAAGATACGCACGCGCTCATCAACCTGAAACCAGTTTGGAAATCTCTTGCACTCCACAGAATAAGGAACAAGATTCTCACTTTCAACACCAATGTCAAGTCGGTCAGTGCTTCTATATGGGTAGGAAACTCGACCGGTGTGTCATGAAGAGGATTTCCAACAGCCTACTGCAGACTTTCATCAACAACTGCCTCCCCTGGCTCTATTCTGAAGATCAAACGACTCGCCAGAAAGAGTTAGGAACAAGAAACTCTATCTGTCTGTCTGGCTGGCTGGCTTGCAACGAACCAACAGGCAAGAGTTGATCGCTCGACGAATATGCAGGAGGAAGTGGAGATGGATGGATTGGGTATACATTAACGAAACCGTCGAATAACATCGCGCGCCAATCAAGCCATCAATCGAGTAAAATCCACATAGGAAGCGACGAGTGCGTCGTCAGTGCGAGGGTGACATGGAGGAGATCGTGTAAGGAAGAGATGAGAGATTATGGGCCATCGTGGAGCTAGTCAGCTGAAGAGGATGGCAGAAAACAGAAGAAAGTGGAGATGTGTAGTTGAAGCCCTATATTCCACTCGGAACCCAAGGGAATTATAATAATAATAAAGTTAACTTCTTAAAACAATTATTTTTAAACCTGCTAACTATTTTCGTCTGTTCTGTTTTTATTTCTAATCAAGCATGACTTCTGAACTCCATTAAATGATTTTTTTCAGAATGTTTCTATGTTGACTTTAAAAACACTGAACCACTAATTTCAAAGCTGAGAGAGCGTAAACAGCCCAATAGGAGATCATATATTATTATTGAATTTTCATATGAAAAATTCGTATTTTCTACTCATATGCCGTTCTTTAACTCTTCTCCCACAGAACCATATGACTATCAATGTTGGTGCGTCATTTTAGTATTCAGTGTACATGCAACAGGTGCAGCACTTTACATTTATGAATGGTTTAGTCCAAATGGAATGAATCGTGGACGATCACCCGATCAAAGTAAGTCTTAATTAACATTTTAACGATGATGAATGCCTGCTGAGAATAAACATCTGTCGTTAGGTACTGAAAGACAGATTGTCATACTTAAACCAATTTTCAAGAGTTGCTTTGTAGAGATCTGATTTATTTCAAGTTTTACCACAGAATGAAATCAGTTAGAGAACCATTGGAAACAAGCAGGGAGCTTTGATGATATTAGATAGCTGGAGGCAATCGGCAGGAAGCCTTGAACCTAGGTTTCTTGCTGGGTTCCTGCCGATTGCCTCCAACCATCTAGTATCATCAAATCAATGTGCACCATGATTGCGAGCTACCTAGAATGGTGGCCACATTACAAGCTGACTGGTAGAATTCAGTCTGCACCAAAGAAAGGACTAGACACATCACATTAGTTATTATTATTATTGTTCCCTTGGGTTTCTAGTGGAACATAAAGCTTCAACTGCACGTCTCATCCTGCTTCTGTCTTCTGCTGTAATTTTCACTTGCATCCATGTTAGTCCATACTATTTCAACTCTTCTTCACACCATCTCCTCCATGTCACCCACACTTGGACGTCCCACTCGGGTTCCACTCCAGTGATGGCCTGACGCGCGATGTCACCCAGCGGCCTCCTCAGCGAGTATCCAATACATCTCCATTTTCTCCTGCATATTTGTTGGGCGATTGGTTCTTGTTTTGTTTGTTCCCATAGTTTCTTGTTGGTTGTTGTTTCTTTCCGGCCATCTGATCTTGAGTATAGAACGAAGACAGTTGTTGATAAAGGTGTGCAACAGGCTGTTGGAAATATTCTTTGTGACCCGCCAAGTTTCTGATCCGTATAGTTACTAGTGTCAAATCAAAACAAGCAGGGAGTGCTGGACAGCTATTTTGTCCCTGTTTAGAACTCATAAGCACCACGCACCCAACTAGGTCTGGAACCCACGACCTTCCGGTTACAAGTCAAGCTCGTAGGCTATTCAGCCAGTGACCAGTCCATGAATTCTCACTTCTACCAGATCGTGATGTTAGCGTGAATGGAACCAGCGAATGTCATCAGTGGCGAGTATTTGCCCTCAATGCCGGCCAGTAGGACTAGGACGAAACGGCTGTCCAGTACTGTCTGCTGGTTTTCAGTAGTTCACCAACCGATATCAATCCGTGATCAACAATAATAATAATAATTTTTACTTTATTCCAAAAACAGTACTAATGACACAGCAAGGAATTTTCAGCATTAAGTAAAATTTTGCATCTAATTCACTCAAAACGACAAAAAATAAACATTACATAATAATAATAATAATACAAAACGTTATTATAGCAGCTATGTAGAAATTACAGTATGCGATAAGGAGAAAAATATGCATAAAGTATAAAATTGTAGTAATAAAAGTAATAACAACTAAAATAAAAGTAGCAAAATTATAATTAAACGATAGAAAGGGTGACACCATAAAATTACAGAAAGAAGACTAATAAAGAGGTAAGAGGTGAGAAAATAGACTTAGGTCAAGTTTATATATATACATATATATTCCTATGACAAGTCCGTGTGTGATCAGAAAGAAGACTGATGAAAGGTTCGATTCACTTTGCTAATTACATAGTAACTTATGTGTTTCACGTCTGACAGTGTCTTCGTCACATAAAATACAGGCTAAATAGGGTATTTTAGAATTTTTGTACTTAATGGTGCGAGCATATAACTTCTTATATTGACTTCGCGTCCTACCTGATGAGGCTAACCAGTTTCTTTTAGAACCACACTATAAACTCAAGTTCGAAATTTATTCGTGATTTATACAAGCAACATACTTACATCTGAGGTTTCATTTGTTTGGGATTTCTAACATACTGTGTCAGAAAAGAGTCGTAGAGGTTAGAAAAAAGAAAGCTCGAGTGGGTGAACAAATACTTATGATAACGTTACTTGAAATCTAATATCATAGCACAATGAAAGGGAACACATAACGGTGTTCTGAAAACTACTGACGCAAAAGTGCATAAGCGTTTGTTGCTGTGAAAGTAATAAACATATGGGCTGTATAAAATCAAATAGAAAACTGCTTAACAGAGTCGATAAAATAGGGAAGAGAAGAAAAATGTACGAAGTTGGATTTTTTTAAAATTCATACACAACATAAATATGAAATCACAACACTTTTCATTTCAAAACTCATTGGAAAAAATTCAAAATATTCATAGTGTTTCAGTTCCTCATCACACGATCTCCTCCATGTCACCCTTGGACGTCCCACTCGCCGCTTCACTTTGTTGTTGCTATCAAACCAAAAGCCCCCAAGGAAAGCACAAAGAAAATCGCCTTACCATATATAAAAGGCATCTCAGAAATCACTACAAGACTCTTCAAACCTTTAGGAATTGACGTCGTACACAAACCAACAAAGTCACTTCACTCAATTCTATGTCAACCAAAAGACTCAACAGCGAAGGAAGATAAAACCAACATCATCTACAAAATAGATTGCATCAACTGCGAAAAACACTACATTGGCCAAAGTGGACGTCCCCTTCGTCTTCGTATCCACGAACATAAGCTAGCTGTCAAAAGACATGATATCCACTCCCTCATATCACTACATACAGACAACCAAGGACATCAATTCGACTGGGACAACGTTCAAATACTAGACAGAGGAAACAACAAGAATGCTAGAGAATTTTTAGAAGCTTGGCATTCCAGTGAATCATCAATCAATAGACACATCGAGATAGACAAAATTTATCAACCGATAAGAAAGAAACGTCACACACAAAGGGTCAAAGTTCAAGCCAAAGAAACAATGAGTGACAATACAAGTAACCTAGAAGGTGTGAAAACAGACAAAAACAACCAATCACGTCCAAGGTCGCCAGGAGAGATGATTAATAAACTCGTGGAGAAATCTAAAAGCTCACTTCAAATTGAAGTATGCGCTGAAGATGTCACCCAGCAGGGTGATGAAAGCTTCTCAAATTAACTATCCAGCTCAGAGAACACAACAACATCAAAATGTTTCCTGCTTTGCTCTGACCGTTGCAGTGAAAATGTCCTGTGTGATTGTGTCCTTCAGTTTTTGCGTGTTGAACTTGCATTGTGGCCTATCCCCAGCTATCCTCGAGGCTTTCAGCTTCACCTTGAAAGTCCCTTGTACTAGATAGTGGTCTGAACCCACATCTGCTCCTCTCCTCGATCTTGTGTCCAGTAGGCTCCGTCTCCACTTCCTTGAGATTGAAATGAAGTCTATCTGGTTTTTGGTGTGTCCATCTGGTGAAATCCATGTCGCCTTGTGTATATCCCTGTGTTTGAACACACTGCCACCAATCACCAAATCATTGAAGGCGCAGAAGTCTGAGAAGAGTTCACCATTGTCGTTCATTTCACCGAGGGCCTCACGACCCATGGTGAGTTCTCTTCCTGTATTGTCTCCTCCCAGCTTCGCATTTATATCACCCATCAGGATTTTGATATCGCTCTTTGGGACGTTGTCCATTACTGTTTGTAGTTGACTGTAGAAATCCTCCTCCTTCTCTTTTTCTGAGACGTTTGTAGGCGCGTAGCATTGAATGATTGTAACCTTTTTTCCTTTTGAGTTGAACCTGGCTGTCATTATCCTGGAGGAGATTGGTTCCCACTGCATGAGAGCTTTAGCCGCTGTTGGTGACATCATGATGGCTACTCCCTCGGTGTGCTCGTGATCGTTCTCTGGGTGACCGGAGTAGATTATTGTCTCTCCAGTTGATAGTTGGCACCTTCCGCATCCGTTCCATCTGCTCTCGCAGATTCCCAACACTTCTATTTTATATCTCCTCATTTCTGCGGCTACCTGAGTAGCCTTTCTAGTTTCGTACACTGTACGAATATTCCACGTCCCCATCCTTATTTTTGCTCTCATCGAAAGAAGGCACATTGGCTGACTGGCTTCCCGAAGGCTTTCACCAGCCTGCGTCATTTCACTTTCCCGATTCCAGCGAAAAGTAAGGTTATTGTTTGTATTTTTAGAATTTTGAATATATTTCTGGGTTGAAGTTTTAGTAGCAATTTGGTTAAGTTTCGGGGGTGGAGTTGCTAGCACCACGCCCCAACCCTCCCTCTTTATCCGGGCTTGGGACCGGCTAGAATACTAGTGACCTAGTAATCTAGGCGAGGTTGAGTCATTTTGTTTAAATGATATTTATATCATATGTATGTATCAGGTGCGTCACAAACAACAAAAGAAAGTACAAATGGCAAAATTTGACAATCCAACCTGAGCTATATGTCGATTGGAAGTAATTAAGTAGGGCATTTCCGTGTCTTAGTGCTACATGGGGTGACAGCATATTCTGTTTTCACTTCATTCTACATAGACAATTTTATATTGGGACTCTCCTTGTATACTGGAATCTCAAACACTGCTAATGGATTTAACAGACAGCGACAGACAGTGGGCAACGAGGAGACAGGCACATAATGGATCCACACAAAAAGAACTTGGAGGATCTGGATTTCGCCGATGATATCTGTCGAATTTCCCTTAAACTGGAAGATATGCAAGTGAAAAGCAACAAGTTGGCAGAAGAAACATCAAAGATAGCAGGGAGTTCAGGTGAACATAGAAAAAATAGAGCCAACAGCAACACCAACAGCTACAACCACAACAGACAACAATCAGCATAAATGGGAGAAATCTGACAGAAGCAACCTCCCTAACCGACTACTTACCTACCTAACTACATACATGGGAAGCATAGTTTCAACTACAGGCAGGCAGAACTGACAAGGATATCAAAGCGAGGGTCCGGAAAGCAAGGCAACCTTCCATTTCTCTCCTCAAGTCTGTGTGGAGGAGATTAACAGCACAAATCAGCATCAAAATGAAATAAGATCCGGATTTTCAACTCCAATGTGAAGTCAGTGCTATTCACCATACGGATCAGAAACTTGGCCACCGCGTCTCGAAGGCCACTTCGAACAAACTACACACCTTCATCAACACCTGTATTCGCTCAACACCACTCAAGATCAGATGGCCGATCAAAGAAAATCAGCAGTAGTTTGAGGGATCTCTGGCAATGAGCGAACCAACCAACCCAGTAGGAACCGACTGTGCAAGGAATATGCAGGAAGAAATGGAGGTGGATTGGCCATACACTCTGAGGAAACAAACCATCAAGTGAGTGACATCATCCTGAATGCAGACTATCACTCGAGTGGAACCGAAGTGAAGTGGCGAGTTAGTTGTTCATCAGTTCGAGGGTGACATGAAGGATGAGTAGGTGATGCGAATAGGAGATAGAAGCATGTGGGCAGACGTGGAGCCAGGTGAAAACGTTGGTGGAGAACCGAAGGTAATGGAGACGTGTGGCTGAAGCCGTATGTTCCTCTGGGAACTAAAGGAAAAAGTAAATAATAATACTAATAAGGTATAATAATAATAATGATAATAATAATAATATTCAAGTAGTGCTATTGAAAAGCCACTGTTTAAACAAATGAAGTATTTTTTTTCCTCCTCATCTTTCTTTTTCACAGACCATCGTTTCTCCTTCTTCAGTTCACTTTGGCTAATCTGGTCAATGTTATTTGGAGCTGCAGTGAATGCTGAGAATCCCAGAGGGATGGCTAGCCGATTCATGGCAAATATTTGGGCTTTATTTGCACTTGTATTTCTAGCCTCGTATACGGCAAACTTAGCCGCCTTTATGATAGCCAAAGAAGACTACTTTGAGTTAATTGGTGTCAATGATTGGCGAGTAAGTTTGAACGTTTTGTGAGAAATTTTGGATGAAAAATAATGTATACTTGTTTTTTTAATGAACAGACAAAAATCTCAATTCCCTTAACTAAAAACAACTTTGACGAACGCTTACCATCTTCAAATGACATTTTGACAGTATCTTCGCCTGTCAAATGTCAAAGTGACTACTCTAAACTAAATGGCTTTCCGTCAGAAATCAGCCAGTGGTCCAAGGAAAACGGTCTTACCTTAAATCCCTCCAAATGCCAAACAGTCAATTTCACCTTTAGGCATAAATCTGACCTAAACAAACTGGTTAGCTCTCACGAGGTGTGCAACATAGACGGCACTGAAATAGAAACCAAGTCGGAAATTAAATACCTAGGCGTCATTCTATCTGCTGATCTTTCCTGGTCGTCTCATATCTTGGCGATTTCTAAGAAAATATTCCGTCTTACCTTCTACATCAAGAAGTTAAAACATTCTGGTATAACCCAACCCTTACTCCTACAATTCGTTAACTCCCGCATTCTGCCTATTATTCTCTATTGTTCCGCCTTAGTTTTTTCCAGGCTACTGAAGAAAGACTATACCTTATTACGCAGGATGTTAAAGGTTGTCAGCAGGGTAAGCAATGTGCCACTTAACCAGCTTGTTAATATTCTGGTTGACAGGCACATGGACTCATGTGAAAAATGGGCTAAATCCATTCTATCTAACTCACACCACCCTCTTCATTCACAACTCTCCCCTTGCATCTCATCAGGCAAAACCAGAAGCCTATATAGAAAACTATATGCTCGCACTAGCAAGTACAAAAACTCAACCATACCCTACTTGGCTCGTGTTCTGTGCGATAAAGAAAGCATTAGGCGTGAAACTTATAACTTATTAAATAGTCAGTAGAACAACTGGATCTCGTCTTTCCAACTCACATCATTTATAGGTACAACGTTTTCTTTCTTTCTTTTCCTTTTCTCTCTCTCTTTTTTTTTTCCGTTATGTGCTGCTTTGTTTCTTTCTTCCGCTTACACCAGTAAATATGATAGCACCTACTTTTCTAACACCTTCAAACACTGTTTCAACTTTGGCTTCGCTACCGACATGCCAATATGTTGTTGTCATAATGAACTGAGATTTCCTTAATCTATGTAGAATTTTATTTATTGTTAATGTACTAACTGGATGCAATACTGTAGTAAAAATGCTGAGAATTCCATTCTGTATCACAAGTACTGTTTTGGAATAAAGCAAATTATTATTATTTTTATTAAATCTCTCAGTCAGATCCATATTTTTGAAGGAAAGCAGTATTCTGCCTTTAAGTCAAACAAAAAAAACAAAGAAACAAACAGGAACCAATTAATTTGAATTGTAAGAAGGTGGAAACGTCGTTGCCCTGTGAATGCGTCTACTGAAAACAAAATAATTCAGGAATAGGTTAGGGTACTCAGGTAGTATATGATTCTATATTGTGTGAGTTTAATCAACATGACATGAGGCGATAAAGCACTATTGTTTATTGCTCACAATCATATCAAGATATTCACACACACAACTACTGATTGTTGATATGAGTGGTATACAACTACTCATCTCGGTAAATCAGTAGTATATAGATTTATGTGAAAATATGCTTGCTTTCTTGATTAATATTTAAGGTGGACCTTTTTGTTGAGAGTTCCATGTATGAGGGATTGCTGTTACATACGTTGGGTTTTTGGTTTGATAAACAAAGACTCAGTGATTTCTTTCTCTCTGGCTGTTTCCACCTTACTATATATATTTATTACTTAGCACTTTCACCCTATTTTGTGATTGTATACATGTGTCTGCACAACAATGGATAATTCTGGGAATCACTTATCCTAGCGTGGTCTGTCGTCCTCAGTCTATCTATGTCCACATGTTCCGATGATGTAGCTCAGCGTGATCTGCAGATGTGACAGTACTATGTATTCTATACATATTTTGTTGCTATCAAGACTAATAACATTTGGAATTTTATTATTATTATTATCATTTTATTACTTAACGCTCCGAGTGGAAAGTAAGGCTCCAAGCCAGAGATTTGACGCTGCGGTAGCGGCAGCCTTATTGTGACGGGGTGGGACTGCTAGCCTTACAACAAACCTTCCCTCTTCACCTGTCTTTCTGCCGTCTTAGAGAGGTTTAGTAGTGCGTTGGCCAGGAATCGAACCCCGGACCACGTGTGGTGTGGTTGGTCAACATTCTACCACTGAACCACCGACCCATCAAAAGAAGATAATGAAAAAGTCGTCTTTCATAAGAACAATTGTTATACAGTATAGACACTGAATAATAATAATAATGATCATAATAGTAATCTACCTTATACCATTTCATTTGACCATCAGTAATCCTGGAATTATAAATGTATAACCTGGAGACATTTAATCCACCATTCGGTAAAAAAGTGATCGGTTCATTATAATTTATTTAGACTGTAAACAGATGAACTGATGAGAAGCCGATGAAATAAGCAATGATGTTACCATATTATTCTGCACAAACCACACTGTTGTTATTGCTTGATTCAATTTCACAGTACTCTTCTCTCAGTAATTACCACACACTCATGATAATGTCTAACTACAGTGAAGTAAGCAAAATGTGGATAGGTTGGTAAGCAATCAGTTTCATACAGTGCAACTTACGTTTCTTTCTTTCTTTCTCTCTCTCTCTCGAGTTGTTATTTACCGACAATTCAGTTACTTCTATCATTACAACAACTTATCGTCAACAGCAACTACTTCGCTACTACGGGTTGCCACTGACAATTATACATCTTATCCAAAAGTTGTACGACAATGCCGCATGCCAAGTAATCCATAACGGGAAACTTACGGAATCCTTCGAAGTGAGGACAGGAGTAAGACAAGCTGACTGCTTACTATCGCCAATGATTTTCCTGATTGCAGTAGATTGGATAATGCGACAAACAGTAGGTAATGAGGAAACTGGCATAAAATGGACTCACACAAGAAAAGAACATGGAGGATCTGGACTTCGCCGATGATATATGTCTGATTTCCCACAAACTCGAAGAAATGCAAGTGAAAAGCAACAAGCTGGCAGAAGAAGCATCGAAGATAGCAGGGATTTCAGGTGAACATAGAGAAGACAGAGGTGATGAAGATTCCTGGACAACACCAACAGCAACAACAACAACAGGCAACAATCAGCATAAATGTGAGGATCCTGAAAGGAACAACCTCCTTTACCTACCTGGGAAGCATCGTTTCAACTACAGGCACACTGAACTGACGAGCATATCATCAAAGCGAGGATTGGGAGAGCAAGATAAGTTTTCATTGCTCTCAAGTCTGTGTGAAGGTCAACAACACTCAGTGTCATAAATGAGATCCGGATTTTCAACTCCAATGTGAAGTCAGTGCTACTCAACATATGGATCAGAGACTTGCACTGCGCGTCATAAAGAGCATCTCAAACAAACTACAGACCTTCATCAACAGTTGTCTTCACTGAATACTCAAGATCAGATGGTCAGAAAAGATCAGCAACAGAGATCTCTGGGAGTGAACCAACCCAGCAGGAATCAATTGTGCAACAAATAGGCAGGAAGAAATGGAGGTGCATTGGCCATACTCTGAGGAAACCATCAAGTGACATCACACGCAATGCAGGCCATCACTCAAGTGGAACCCGAAAGAGAAGCTGCGAGTTGGTCGTCAGTGCAAGGGTGACTTGGAGTAGGTCATGTGAATAGGAGATGAAAGCATGTGGGTGGCAGACCTGGAGCCAGGTGAAAACTTTAGCAGAGAACCGAACGCAATGGAGACGCACGGCTGAAGCCCTATGTTCCTCTAGGAATTAAAGGAAATAATAATAATAAATAATCGTCAACAGCTCACCTCTGTAATACTGTTTAAACTACATCATACAGTACAATATCAGTCAGAGTTGAAGAAATACAAAACTCAAGAAACCTTTCTGCACATGTTATTTATTCTGTTAATTATTGACAACAGAACTAATGCTTACAATAGCAATCTTTTCAAGCATAAATTTATATTCAGTATGTAAATATTTTTAGTGAAAACAGTTCTGTCAAAATATGGAAGAGAAGAGAATGCTTCAATGCATGTAATAATATTGTTATAATGAAAACAATGTCACTATTCATTAAGCCTAAAAGTTATTCAATTATCACATCACAATTGGGAAGTGAAACTGAATACTCTTCAGTGATGTGTAAACACACACACACGCACGCACAACAGTGAACTAACTAACTCACTAACTAACTTGCTGACTTTGTACCTAAAACAACACCGTCAAATAAGTTGCATTCCTTTTGAAAGTTAATAAAAATAATCATCGGTGAGATTCCTTGAAATAATTTCATATGGCAGATGAATTATTTTATACACAGAGCTGATGATTAGCCTTAAGATGAACATAAAAGTAATAAGCCTAAACTACTTTGAAAAATCATTTCCCCAACCTTTTTTCAATTCTGAATGAAGCTAATAATTTTATTACTTAATCTATAGTAAGGTGCATCGGTGGCACAGCGGTCGGATGCTTGCCAACCACGCAGGTGGTCTAGAGTTCGATCCTCGGCCACAGACGCACTCCCACATCTAGCCAAGCCTGTAATGAGACCGGTAAAGATGGAAGGTTGGGTATGACGCTAGTAATGCCATGCCATAAAAGTGAACACCAAAACTTCAAGCCTTTAGCTTGAAGCCCCCCTATGTTCCACTGGGAACGTAAAGCAATAAAAAGTAATCTACGATAACCATTATAGGCTCGTAAGCTTATTCAGATTATTATCATTTAATGTTGACTGGGTGTTAAATGCTTTGAATCGATAAACGAAAAGCCACTGACCTAGTTCTTGTGACTGCTCATGCTTACAGGTAACGTGTATCCATGACTCAGGGCAATGAATATACTGCACCTTCCATCTGTAGATATCAATCAATATTTCAGTATGCAAGTCCTGAAACTCATGCAGCTTTCTAATTC